CTAAAAATATAAAGTTTATTGGGACCAGCAGTTAGCGTAATGGCTATGTGGCTGGACTCTCATGTAGTGGACCGCAGTTTGAGTCCTGGACCCGGCAGCTTAAACTCATGCTGGGCGCATGTGCATGCATGCCCAAGATCCCGAAAGAATGGAGGAGAAGGGATTGCGGCGTGGCCATTCCCCCTGGGGGGGGTGATTTCTCGCCTCCTGTCTCTCTGTCTCTCTGTCTCTCTTTCTGGTGAGCGCACACACTGCGCCCTATAGCAAAAACATCTCAAAAAAATGTATAAAGTTTATTTATACATAAATGTATAAAAATATTATTGTTGAGCCAGCAGGTGGCATGGTGATTAAGGCTCTGGATCCTGTAGGGCCAACTCCAAGGTTCGAGTCCCAGGGTTTCCAACTTGAAAATATACTGAGACTGAGCATGTATGCACACATGTCCAAAATCCCAAGAGGAAAATGAAGGAAAAGGGATTGCAGAGTGACCATCCCCATTGGGGGTTGAGGGAGATTCCTCACTTTCCTTCTCTCTGTCTCTGTCTCTCTGGCAAGTGCATTCACGCTATAGCAAAAGTCTAAAAAAAAAATACTGTTTAAAATATCGTTCCAAAAGGGGAAAAAAAAAGGCAAAATCTCTGATTTTTCAGAGTTACATATTTGAGAGGTTGAGAGAAAGAGATCAACAAACAACAAAAGAAAACAAAACAACAAAAAATGCTGTTTTCTGTCTCTTCTCATTTGTTTTTCAGAATCTCCTATTATCGGCACATTGGTTTTCCACTGTTTGTCTTTAATATCTACCATCTTTTCTTCTACTGGTTTGATTAGATTTTGGCTTTTAACGCTCTAAAAAGTTCTCATATTTCTCTACACCTTGGGTTCAGTTCTCTGCGGCATCAGTTCCTCTTTACTTAGAGCATTTCTCCATCTGCATGATTTCCCAATCTCACTCAGCTCCCTGCCCACCTTGCTTGTGATTTTAGCTCACTTTATCTTCATGCTTAAAGTCCATATTCTCTTGAATTTTATTGGGGGCCCCAAGATACGCTGTCTGGAACTTATTGTTACTATCAGTAAGTCCTCTACAAAACTGTTCTTTTTCTTGGGTGTTTTATTATTGTTTCCCAGCGACAGAATGCCGTGAGATACCACTACACACCTAGGAGAGGGGCAAAATGCAAGACACTGAAAACATCGAAAGCGGACGCAGAGGTATGACAATGGAAAGCTGCATTGGCTGTTGGTGAAAATGCAAAACAGCACAGCCACTTCCGGAGGCACCATGTCGGTTTCTTACAAAACTGAATATACTGTCACCAAAACCTCTAAATGGTGAGCACCTTCCTCCTCCCCGTTACTGCTCACTCAGAAACATCCGCTCAGAGCCTAAGTTCTGAAGTTCTGTGTGATGTGAGCTGAGAGACTTGGCAGTCCTAGGAGCTGCTGTCATACAGGACACCTACAGTCAGCTTCAGTTCTCTGACATTTCCATTCATCCATTCATTCGTTCACTCATGTTTTTGCCATAGAGCATGTGAGCTGATACGAGAGACAGAGACAGTGAGAGAGAAAGTAAGAAATCATGTCACAATCCCTTCTCCTTCATTCTCCTCCTGGGATTCGAACACACAAGCACACACACTGCCAAGTCTGGGACTCAAACTGTGCTCAGCCATGTGGGACTCCAGTGCCCTTAACTACCATGCTACTGGAGTTCACTGGTCCCTCCGTGACTCTTAACTATTTTTTTTCTGAGTTTGTAAGCCACCAGGACAGGAAGTATCTTTGTTTAACGTGCTCTGCCCTTTACTTTAGGCAACGGATACGGCTGTGCCCAGTGGGACCACTTAGTGCCACTACTATCTGCAAGTCTCCCAGAGCCCAGCAGCCTTGAGAGAAACCCACGCCGGCAGAAAGTGCCACCAGCTGGCCTGCTCCAGTGTGGCCGTGCTCGCCCTTGGAGCCCCGGCACAGATTCTTCTGGCAGAGCAGTTTCCAAGTACCCAAATGCTTTGCACAGCCTTCGAAATGAAAGGGTTGTGATGGGTCCCTCCAGCATCTTGTTGACTCCCTTCCTGTGACGTTACACCAAGTGCGTCACTGGAGGAGTGGCACCAAAGACTCCATGCTGTCTTTCACTCTGACAATATATCATCCTTTAAGTCAGCTCATGAGGGCAGGATGGCTGAGACATCTGCCTCCGATTTTCCGTCTTTCCCAGATAACTGACTGATGGTTCACCAATGACAGATGGATGATGCCTGATGTTCAAAGAACGAAGATGATAAACTTGAAAAGAATCAAACGGAAAAGAAGAGACAGAGCACGAGAGAATAAAGCAGAGTGGGAAAGACAGTGATGTGAGTAGGTGAAAGAGAAAGGTAAGGGACGGGATATGAGGAGAAAAAAGCAAAAAACAAAAGTGCAGGTGGAAAGCACTGCCTCGATCCCAGGGCAGCAGACGCCGTCCCTCATAGCACAGAACAAAACTGACGCTGCTCACTGAGGGGATGGGTGTTCTAACCACCGTCCCGCTATTGTTACCTTTCTGTTCACACTCCCTTCTTCACTTTCTCTCCTCTTACCGAAAAATGACCAACTATTCACATCTATTTATTTATAGAGGGATTTTTTGCTATAGGGCGTGTGCACTCGCTGGAGAGACAGAGAGAGACAAAGAAACAGAAAGCAAGAAATCACGCCCCCCCAGGGGGGATGGCCACACCACAATCCCTTCTCCTCCATTCTTCTCTAGGGATTTTGGGCAGGCATGTACACGCACCCGGCGTGAGTTTTAAACCTCCAGGTCTGGGATTCGAACCGTGACAAACTACATGGGAGTCCAGCAATGTAACTATTATGCCATCTGCAATTCCTTATACCTCTTTAATATATTAAAGGGTCTTTTATAAGGGGCCTCAGGAAGAAAAGAGAAAGCAGGTAACAGGTGTGAAGAGTGGGGCTTGTCTTGAAATAAGGATGCGAGGCAGGATGAGATGGGCTTCTGAAGGAACGTGGGGGCGGGGGGCAACACGATACTGCTCATCTGTCCAAGGCCTCAGATTCTGTTTTAGGGACTCCACCTTGACCTGGTTTTCCTAGTGGGCTATGGTTCTCTGGATCTTAAAGATCTGAGAGCTCTGCTTGGTAATCTCTGTGCCTCAACACAGAGACGTCAGGGGCCAGGAGGAGGCATGATGGTAATACAGCTGACCCCACAGAAAGGTCCTTGGTCCATGTACATGCTAGACACATGATCTGATCTAGCTGAGGCTGGGGATGGACTGCAGTGTGGACCCCCTGTTGGAGTGTCAGCTGAAGAAATACACAATCACGAAGACATTGGGGAAATCTCATTCCAAAACAGCCAGAAAGGGAGAGAGAAAGGCCATGGCGGACACTTAAAACAGTTTGTAGCCACTGAAGAGAAAGAAGGGTCAGAACAGAATTTGCACAAAACCAGCAGGGTGCTCTCAAGATCAACCTGGGCCAGCCAGCGGCATGGTGGTTAAGGCAGTTGGATCCCACACAGCCAATTGTCCAGTTCAAGTCTTGGCCTGGACAGCCTGAAGAACATACATGTGCATACATGTTTGTGCCCCAAATCCCAAGAGGAGAGTGGGGGAGAGGGAACTGCAGTTCAGTAATCCCCCTGAGGGGGTGCTTTCTCACTTTATCTCTCATCATCTCTCTCTGGAAAGCTCTTGCACTTGATACCAAACACTAAGGGGAAAAAAAAAAAAACCCAACTAGGACACAAGATGGAGTCTTATTAACTTGGTGTAAACACTGCAAGTTCGTACAATAAAATAAATGCCACAGTCTAGCCAAGACAACCATGAAAGAGAGTGAGGGTTCCTTGCTGAATATTTTTGATGATGTCCGGAGAACAGAAATTTTATACTACTGCCCCAGAAATATACACATGGATTAATGGAGCACAGAGTTCAAAGACAAATTAAGAAATTAGACAGGAGGATTTCACTTCATAAGGAGGTGGCTTATTGCTGGAAAAGCATGACACATTTTTTCATAGACCACTCATCATGCATATTGCTTGATTAAGGTTTGGGTGCGTGTGTGCCCAAGATCCCAAGAGAAGAATGGAGGAGAAGGGATTGCAGCATGGCCATCCTGCCTGGAAGGTGATTTCTTGCTTTCTGTCTCTCTGTCTTTCTCTGTCTCTTTGGGGAGTACACGCACCCCACAGCAAAAATCTCCCTGCCCTTCCCCCTAAAAAATGACTGTGATTAAGACAAGAGGTACTCAGCATAGTTACAGAAATATGATATTTTTGTTCCTTGGGTTGAAATCCAGTTTTGGTTTCCTTGGCAACCCATCCTGACATGCATGCACGTAAACAGATGTACAGGCACGGAGCATTGGGGTTATGTTGCTAATTAAGTCCTATACAACGTATGTGGGGAAAGATGGAAACTCATGAGTGCATATGACAAGGGACATCATTCTGTACGTACAGAGTCAACAGTTCCTAGAATGAACAGCAGGAGGCTTTCTTTTCTGTCTATCTCCATGGTAGCCTTTCTATTTCACTGACACCTGCCTTCCAGGAGGCAGGGACTGTTAAAGCAACTCAGAAAATAGGAAAAGGCAAACAAGAAACGATTTCATATCAACAGTGAGTAAAGGATTCTCTCCGGTCTAAGTTCTCAACCGTTCTGTGTGGCCTCAAATTCACCCCTCAGGACTCGGATGACTTAACAGCTTCGCACCAAAACCAAGGTCCTCTCTCTCTGCCTTCCACACAGGAGCACCAACGATCCCCTAGTGCCACCACCCTGTCTAGGCCACCATCAAAACCCCAACTCTCCATGTTCATTCTGGACGCTTTCGAGAGGCTAGCGGGCAAGCTTGGGCCACTGAGTTCAACTAGAGGTTCACTCATCGTTTTAAGAGAACTCCAGTGAACACAAAGGCACTCCCTGAGGGCTCCCCAGTCTGTCCCAGTAGAGAGGAGCAAAGAGGGCGGGTACCCTGCAAATCTCCACTCTGTTGGCAGCCTCCTCCATTTCTTCCCTGAGGGCATCAGCTTTGGCACCCGCAGGCTGTAAGCTGCTGGACAAACCTGAAGACTTGGAAGTCTGCTGCCACCTGATGGGAAATAGGAGAAAAAGAGGAGAGATGTGAGACAGGTAGAGCCCTGGGGGTATCAAGGGAACACTGAGAAAGCACCTGGTTACAACACGACCCAGGGAACTCTAAGCCCTCACCTGAAGGGACAGGTAACACAGAACCAGGTAGTAGACCGAGAGAGAGGGGCTCCTCCTTGACTGAGGACTGGATGCCTCTTCAGGAGAGACAAGCATTCCCCAGATTGCTGCTGGGTTCCCTACTGTCTTCAGGGCACTAAGGTTAAATGACAGTCACTATGGCTCTTTAAAAATGAATGTTATTTTTAATTGACTGATCAGAATTATGTACATTTATGGGGTAGAGTGTGGTGCTCCCACACATGTATACAACATGGAATAAGTAAGTCAAAACAATGAACATATCCATCACCTCACTTACGTAGCAAATTGTTTTATCCTTTTATTTATTTATTTATTTATTTATTTATTTATTTATTTATTTATTTATTTTAGTTTTGTTATAGGGCACATGTGCTTGTCAGAGAGAGAGAAAGAGGGAAAGTGAGAAATCAATCCCCAGGGGATACGGCAACATCACAATCCCCTCTCTTCCAATCTCCTCTTGGGACTTTGGGCACGCATGCACATGTGCCTTGCGTGATTTTCAAGTCACCAGGTCCAGGACTTGGTCATATATGCAGTCAGCCACGTGGGATCCAGGCCTTAACCTCCATGCTACCTGTTGGCCCTACTTAACAATTCCTATGGTAAGGCCACTAAATTTAATCGAGGTGACTATAGTTGATGTAACGCATTGTCTGTGTCACAGTAACTGTTGCCATCTTCCCTGTAGTCTCTGCCATTCATTTCCATTCCTTGCCTATCCTGTGGGCGAGGAAGCAACAACTTGGAAACACTGTGTACTTAGCTGAGACTGTGAGCATACATAGATCAGATATGCTGATAAGATGAAAAACACACCCCAAAGGCTAAAAGCTCTCCGGTAAGCACAATACACCTTTATGTCAACATCTAAACACATCATTTACATTTTCCTAAAACCGTACCTCAGCGTTGGCCTTCTGAGGATGTCACTCAAAAGAGTTTTAGAGGAAAGAACGAATACATCTGGTTGCCATGCCATCACTAGGGGATTACCGTGGTAGGCCCCGAAAGGAAGTTCATCTTACACTAGATACAGCATGAGGGGGGTCTTCAAAAAGTTCTTGGAAAATACATATTAACATTTATGCCTGGATTTTAAATAGTTTTGCACCAAAACAAACTCCTGTTTAAATTGCATTTTGCCATGAACTTCTTGAAGTCCTTTCAAAGTCATTAATGTAGGCGTGGGTTCCACTTTCACAGAGTCTGTTACTCAACGGCTTATACGGACCAGCCTGTAAGAAAAGCAAGTCAAGGAGGCTTTATCTCTAAAATTTATCCACTGGGTCCTTTGATCCTTCCTTCCCTTCTTCCTTCCTTCTTTTCTTTTATATTTATATATCCTGCACCCCAGGAGAAGAGAAAGCACCCCTCAGTAGGACTTAGTCACACCATAATCCCTTCCCCTCCACTTCTCCACCCTATTGGGATTTGGGGTACGCATGCACATGTATCTGGCATGCTTTTCAAGCCACTAGGGCCAGGACTTGAACCCTGCAGTTGGTTGTATGGAATCCAGCTCCCTTAATCACTAAGCCATGAGGCTATTCTGAGACTTTCTTTCTTACTCATAATAGAGAGAAGAGATAAGCTACTTCTTGGCTTTAGGAATAACTGTGGTGGAATCGGCTGACAATGGCAGCGTGCCTGGCTGCAGACTTGGCCATCAGGAAGGAGAGGGAGGAGCTGGAGAACGAGAGGGTGGGAGTGGGTGGAGAAGGCGAGTGCTGCCCTGTCTAACAGAGGAGGCTGCTCTGTCGTGCAGGCTGATGAGGTCTAGGTAGGAGTATGGGCCCTGGGTTGCCAGGTGCTTCAACTGCAAGAAGAAAATTTCCATGTGAACTTTGATAAAATGTGGCAACAGACACATCATTTATTTTAAACACCATGTAGGCCAATAGTGAATAGACCAACCGAGACAGCTCTGCGGGTTCTAGCAGGACCTTAGAACATTAATCTGCAGCCTCCGATGTACAGGCAAAACATGGACTACCTATTGGTGGTGTGGTGGTTAAGGCGCCTGGATCCCATGGCCAACTGTGCAGTCTGAGTCCCAGACCTGGGGCTTGAAAAACATACTGAGCAATTGAGCCTGCGTGCCCACAGTCCTGAGAGAAGAATGGAGGAGAAGGGATTGAAGCATGGCTATCACCCCAGGGGGCAATTTCTCACTTTCTCTCTGTTCTGGAAATACACACATTCTACAGCAAAATTACCAAAATAATAATAATAATAATAAAATAAAGAAAAAATGATTTCTCACTTTCTCTCTTTTCTGTAAGAGCACATACCCTACAGCAAAATTACCAGCATAGTAATAATAAAATAAGAAAAAAAAAAACTATCTCCTTCATTTTGAGAGTGAAGAATCTAGCCACTAGGTAGTCAATCAAGTTTTCCTTTCTCTTTTGTTATCCTCACGAAAAAGAGAAGTGTGCAGGGCTCTATGGCACAAGAAAGGGAAAACTAAAGTGGTTTTTGCTTATAGCAAAAGTAGCAAAATAAAGATTCTCTGGCACTTAAAGAATGTGACTACAGGAAAATGACTTTATGAAGTCTTTAGAGGACCAGCAGATGGCCACTGGAATCCCACATGGCCGACTGCGGTTCGAGTCCTGGACCCAGCAGCTTCAAACTCGCCAGGCGCTTGTGTGTGCACGTCTAAGATACCAGGAGGAAGACAGAGGAGAAGGGATTGCAGTATGACCATGCACCACAGGGACTGATTTCTCGCTTTCTGTCTCTCTGTCTCTGTCTCTGGTGAGTATACATGCCCTATAGCAAAAGTCTCTCAAAAACAAAAAAAAAATTATTTGGGACATTAAGATGGACACATGTTCTAAAAAAGATTCCTGATTCCAAAATAAGAATTCAGGGCAATTTAGAAGGCGAACACTCTCTTCAAGAATGTTTCGAAATCTGGCCCAGCCACGATGGTGTCACAGGAATGTGATGCTCTGCCATACTGGAAGCCATAGAGAACATACGGGTTCAGTTCCCTGGTCAACCTGTATGTACCAGGCATATGTGTGTGTGTGCTCATGATCCTGGATTATGGGGTGACCCTGTAGGATTTTTTGTGTGTGTGGGTGTATGCGTGTATACATGTGTATGTCTCTCTCTCTGATAAAGATAAATAAATAAATAAACTTAAAATAACATTAATAAAAGGGTTTTGGGGGACCAGCAGTTAGCGTAATGGCTATGTTGCTGGACTCCCACATAGTTGACGGTGGTTCGAGTCACGGACCTGGTGGCTTAAACTCATGCCAGGCGCATGTGCATGCATGCCCAAGATCCTGAGGGGAGAATGGAGGAGAAGGGATCGCAGCGTGGCCATCCCCCATGGGGGGTGATTTCTCGCTTTCTGTCTCTCTGTCTGTCTCTGTCTGTCTGGCGAGCGCATGCACCCTATAGCAAAAACCTCTCCGAAAAATAAATTAAATAAATAAATAAATAAATAAAAGGGTTTTGGGGGCTCAGGCAGTGGTATAGAGGTAATGTGACCGGATCCACATGAGTTCATAGCCAGGGGCTGCCCTGCATGAGCTAGATACATGCAAGGTACATGTACATGCCCATGATCCAGCCTGGCTAAGACGGGGTAGACTGCATTCTAAAGAGTCTGTAAAGGGTGTTTCTACTTTGGGACTAGCAGATGGTGTAATAGTTACGTTGCTGGACTCCCACATGGCTGACCATGGTTCGAGTTCCAGACCCGGAGGCTTAAAACTCACGTAGGCACGTGTGCGTGCCTGCCCAGAATCCCAAGAGAAGAATGGAGGAGAAGGGACTGCAGCATGCCCACCCCCCCCCCAGGGGGTTATTTCTCACTTTCTATCTCTCTGGCAAGTGCACATGACCTACAACCAAAACTCTCTAAAAGAGAGGGTGGGAGAAGATAACTCTACTTTCTCTACTTTTCCTCCTCATGTTTCTCTCTGTCTCCTCTCATCGAATACATAAGTAAACCTTAAAAAAAGTTTCAAAACCTAACTTAAAGTAAGTTACCATAAGAATGAGTCAGAATTCCTGCATAATTCTTTCATATAAAGCTTTGTCCTACAAAACGAAGATTGTCTGGCACTTAAAGAATGTGGCTACAGCAATGATATATTTCATAAAATGATGTATTTGATCACTGTTCTATTTATCACAAATGATATATTTGATAAATATATCCCGGGTTTAATCATTTTAAATAAAGTACTAAAGTAGTGTATTGTTTCTTTGGTGAATAAAATGTGAGGTATTCCAGTTGTAATGTATATTTTAGACAATAAATACATGTCCAGGGTAAATTATGGACTCTGGTTACAACCACCATTGGACTCACACTACCTGAAGCCAAAACAACTAACCAATATGTAAATGCTAAAAAATACATAAAGTGCGGGAACCAGCAGTTAGCGTAATGGCTATGTCGCTGGACTCCCACATAGTCAACCGCGGTTCGTGTCCCGGACCCGATGGCTTAAAACTCACGCCAGGCGCGTGTGCGTGCGTGCCCAAGATCCCAAGAGGAGAATGGAGAAAGGATTGCGGCGTGACCATCCCCCCTGGGGGGTGATTTCTCGCTTTCTGTCTCTATGTCTCTCTCTGTCTGTCTGGCAAGCCCACGTGCCCTACAGTGAAAATCTCTCTCCAAAAAAAAAAAAAATACATAAAGTGCTATATGAAGCTGATTTTTATGGCTTTGTAAATCTGGATTAGATTTATTTTAAAACCCAGATTACATTTAAAACAAGTGGAGTATCCCTTATCTGAAATGCTTGGGACCAGAAATGTCTTGGATTTGGGATTTTTTCAGATTTTGTAATACTTGCATAGACATAATGAGATTATTCTGGAGAT